TTTTTCTCTTTATGGGAACACCGACAATATTATAAATACCATGGTAAAGCAAAATTAAATAAAAATCGCGTGTTACTCACGGAAATATACTAAGAAAAGCTTTACTAGTTTCAAGCCACAGAGCGGTCGCAGTGATGTCGCGTAGCCTACTGACTAGATGACTGGGCAGCGTAGGCGGCGCGACATCGCCGTGACTGCGCACGCTGCGGAAGCTTCATGAGAAAGAGCTCCTCTGTGGCTCGAAAGTAGTAGAACTTTTCTCAGTATATTTCACATGAATTTTCAGATAATTTAGTATGTCCCACGACAGTTATTATAAAAATCGTAATGAAGCTTTTTTATCTTTCAATCGTTATCGCGAAGCACCTAACAAACAAACATGTAATAAATTTTTATAACATTTAATTATAGCATTCATACTTATACATTCGCGTGCATGAAATATTTTAATGATTACACACACGAAACAACAAATTGTAATAAAAATGTAGACATGGTGACAGACAGCAGTTTATAATATGATAGAGATGTATATTTTGTCAGTAAAATTCAATATTCTTGAATTTGTATGTGCAAATTCTGAGTAGAACATAAGTTAATTTTTTTAGTAAACTTTGCCCCATCCTAGGTCCACCAAAATGTATATTAATATAGATAATCCCAGTAATGTAATTGGAGGAATTGGGGCTTGAATTTATGTTGGATGTATTTTTGGTAACTGATTCGTCATTTGTCATACGATATAAACATTTCAAGTGCGGGAGAGCAATGTTTCGGCACGAATGGGCCGGCTCGACCGGAGTAATACCACGGCCTCACAGAAAACCGACGTGAAACAACGGTTGCGTTGTGTTTCGTCATGTTAGTGAGGTTACCAGCAGCCTAATTACCCCTCTCCATTTCTCTCTCTCTCTTTTAGTCAGTAAGAGTCTGACAATCCCTCCCGCCTCACCCAAGCGGGAGAAGTCATTCGATGATTTTCCCCCTTGAAAAAGAAAAGTCCAATTACCCTGAATCCAAATTCAAAGGCCAGTAACGCACTTGTAACGCCTCTGGTGTTCCAGATATCTTATTAGATTGCTGATGATCAGGTGATCCGTCTGCTCGTTTACCGGCTTATACCGTAAAATTTGATATAACATGAATTATAAGTTGATAAAATACACTTCTGTCTATTTACTCGAGATTTAGAGTCGTCATACATATTCATCTTTCCTAATATCACAGTAAATATGGACTTAATAATAATAAATTAATTAATCGAAAATTGTGGGTATAGCTGCCATGTCTGACTCAGTATGTGGTACCTATACACAAATACAAATACAACTTAGAAGTACCGCTAATTGCGTCATATCTATTTCTATACTGTAATTTTAAACTAGCTGTTCCTCACAGATTCGTCTTCGACCAATATCGATAAATAGGTCTCATGTAATTTAACGTCATACTTTTGAGTTCCATAAAGCATAGGTGAAGGTGTCAATCAGAACATTAATAATTGGGTACTTTCGACTGTTCAATACAATTTTTTTTTAACTCGTCGAGTACCGGTTTTGTAGACAGAATTATTATATAGAACAATAGGTTGCGGTCACCGGTGACCGCTTGGTGTTTGACAGTTTAAATAATCACACTTTCATTATTTGATTTTATGACCAACTTAATTTTAGTACCTATTTTTTAAGATTTTTTCAAAGAATAGGTATGAGGTTTGACGCTTAAAAAACGTGACGTCACAATACAGAATCTCGTACAAAACTCATAGAAAACTGACAGTTCGAAAAAAGTGTTAAATTTGACTAGTTGGCAAGTACCCAATTATGGAATCATAGCACTTACACAGTCATGTTATGACTTATGAGTCCCATGGAATAGGAGAATAGGGAGAGAAGAGGAATCAAATCCAAGATTTCTTTCTTCGCAATCACGACCACTCGACCAAGGAAAACCGTCAGGATCCATATTTAATGGCGATAAAATAAATAAACTAAGAAGACGTAGGTTTTATCCCCGGCTTTACCCACGCATTCCTATTTTATCCCATGGGAGCATTCAATCGGGATAAAAAGATATCATACCACCTAAGTCAGCCCATACTCTGCCTGTATACCAAAATTCATGAAAATCCTTTCATTAGTTTCAGAGTAATTGACAAACACTCAAATAAAGAAACTTTCGCATTTATAATAATTGTGTGATTAACTTAACATGTTCTGCACCTCTTGCCTTGCCCATAAAATAATAAAAAATAAATAAAAGCAGTGATTTATTTTTCCACGTCCATTTTATCTTGTAGAGGTATACTCTGTGGCATCTTCACTAAATGTCAAATGTCAACGTAACGTCAGATTGGTGATGTAGGAAGACAAAAATGGGATCTCGAGTGTTAAATGAAAATAGCTCTTAATGATAAGTAATAAGAGCTTTGTCAATATCATAATGTGATCAGATAACGTTGCTTTTTTGTTGTAGTGTGTTGTTGTACTTGTGTTACATTTTTCAAGATACATCATTGTTTTGATCAGTAGTAGCATGGAGTCTGGAATTGTGCCCGGTATATGGCAATAAGGTCACCCCCTATTACACGGGACTCCATAAATTGCGAAAAGATGGTGTTACATTGTACAGATGTTATAAAAAAAATACTTAAAGTATGAGCATAAACAGGCAAAATTAACGAAAATCAAGTCGGAAAGTTGCTTGTAAAAAAACTCGACGCAAAATAATATAATTGATTCAATCAAGAAACCATTACATGTATAAGTACAGTGGCCAGCACATAAATCTACTCTAATATGTTAACTTTTGCTATTGGATTTTCGACTTTATACCTAAAAAATAAAATTGATAATCGAATAAATAAATTAGACAGAAAAGAGCAGGTTGATCTGCTGCCCTCTGCACATGATCGATTTTCAATACGTGGTCAAAATAATCGATGCTTGAGTCAAGTAAAGATTAATGACTGCTATTGAGCGTATACTGATGTAAATTAATACTAATTGATCAGTTAAAAATCCTTCCTTTTTGCTCAGTGGGAGGGTAACATCATTAAGGCAGTTTCTTGTTGTTACTCAATGGATATGTGAATGACAAAGATTTTTGGGGATGCAGACTGAACATAACATCACGCCTTTTATCCCCGAAAGGGTAGGCAGAGGTGCACATTATGCCACTGTACAATGTAACACCCACTTCTCACTATTTATGTTATGACTCCCATGTAATAGAGGGTGAGACTACTACTACTGAGAATTTTTTAAAACCCAGTAATACTTTGGGAATCAAAACCGAGACCCCTTGCCCGGCAGCCAACAAGGCAGTCCATGCAGACTGAATGTATCTGTTATTGGATCTATTGAAAAATGTGGTTGTAGATTGTGTTGAAAGCTTGAGTAATGTAACGATTACCTTATGGATCCGATATTCAAGCATTGTTTATTTTTGAAATTTTACGTATCTAGTTTGCAAGACGTAGTGTAGAACGATGTATGGGAATAGGCCAGCTCTCTGTTGACTGTGATCTTAATATAACTATCGAACTGTGATCCTGTTAAAAACGAATACCCTTTTCAACAGAGCCGTATTATCCCTAAGGCTAACTGGGCAAGCGCCTAGGGTGCCAGGTTAGAGAGCACATAGACTTTTTTTTAAGGGGGCAAAATCATCGAATTGCTGCTCCCGCCTGGGTGAGGTGAGGAACCACCCCGTTCCTTCTCCTGCACGTCGAGCCGGAGCCCCGGTAACCCGTTAGGTTCTCCGCGACTCCGAGGATCTGTGTATGGGATAGGCCCGCTCTCTGTTGACTGTAATCTTAATATAACTATCGAAAAGTGGGTTTTAAATATAAAATCATCACCTTTGTCTACAGCTCCAGGAAATAATGGCGCGATGTTTTGTAAGGTCGAAAATTCTTCGTAAAAACTCAAATCACACGATGCCACGTTTGAACGTCAAAAAACTACTTGCCTAAATCGAAAGGCAAGTCACTTGATAGCGAAATTAAATGCGCATTTTTATTGACACGTCAAAATGTCTTTATATTGTCAACGCGGTGACGTGTCCTCTTGACAACTTGTCATCACGATTTATGATGGCGGGTTTTTTGACATTTCAACTGTCAAACGTCATTTCCAAGCGCGCCTTGTAAAATTGGCGCTGGATTTACATAGTTTTTTGTACTGTCCTATAAGTTATTTTGATTCGTATGTTGTTTACTAAGATAAGGAGATCCCTACACATTATCGAATTAAACGTTTAAGATACATACTTCTTTAGCTTCAGTATTGTTTGACTAGATGCCTAAAGGAACTGACAAAATAGACGCCATCTTATTATTTATTTTCACGGAATCAGGAGTTTTAAATCTTTGGGCATCATACGAGCAACCTAAACCAAGTCGTCAAAATCTAGTAAGCCGACTGCCTGCTGCTGACTGATTGAAGAACGAATAGAAGTTTGGTAAGTCATCTTGTATTTTTTAAGCGTGCATTTCTCCGGTTAAAAAAGCATTTGGAATTAGCTGTGTCGCTATTGCAACTTAAATAACCAAAGAAAACAGTTCAAAATAATTTCGATTGTTTTCTTTGCAGTAAAATACATTGTTTTAATTGTAAGGCTTTAAGTTTATATGTAATTATGTATATGATTACCTATGTCTCAATTATACTCCGAAGTAACGTTTTATCAAAAAAAAGTTTCTATACTAGGACAGCTGAATAGTCTAAGAGGCCTCACATGGCGAAAACATCATCGTTGTTTTACGCCGGTTTTCTTTGAGATATTCCTCCAGTCGAGCCGAACCATTCGTGCTGATGCTGAAGCATTTTTATACCCACCTTTAATACCTTAGGTTCAAAACTTTTCAGAGGTCCAAGTATTGTACACAAAACAAAAGCGTATCGCCAATACCCTTAGCTAGGTCTAAAACATCCAGCTGAGCTATCTAACCCTAAAATCTTACACCAGAAACCTAATCACCACCGTTATTATTACAGCCCACTGGATAGTCCACCAATGGCGGATGTACGAGAGGTCCATATGTTCACTGCTGGAGCTGCAGGCGCGCAAGGGTTCCTGCTCCATGTGCTTCACGGAGTATGCTCCTCCCTTGCTGCCGCTGCCTCTCACCACGCAGCGACCCTCACCGCCGCCTGCGCACTTGTAGCGATGCGACCATGCGCCGCGACCGGTGAGTTCGTGTTTTTTAAATATTTATTAAGTTAGAATACCGGGTTGTAATGCTGTAATAAAAATGTAACGCGTCCACGAATTATTTATTTATTTATGAATTGGAAAAACAACAGCTAATAGCAAACAAATAGTTAATAAAATAACAGCAGAAAGCTAATTACAGATTTTCACGGATAGATTTCATATTATTCAATTAAAAAAAACACTCACAGTCCAAACAAATACATAATTTAGGGTAAAAAAAACATATTACGTGATAATATATCTTATATTATGTTAAAACTAGCTATTAACACTAGCTACTAACTACTTCTAACATCTTCCATCGACTTAGTCTTTCACAATTTTCAAAACTACGTACCTATGCTTAACATGACGTATAAAATATTTTGAATCTTGGTCGGTCCAATATTCCATTGTTCCTCATTTATAAAGGACAAAACTTTAATACAAAAACATATTTCTAAAAAAAAATCACCACTGAGCTCAAGAACTTGAATGAAGTGCTCCATCATAGATGCGGTCTACGTTGGAGCACTTTTTAGCATAGCATCGCTTACCACCAGGCGAGATAATGGCCAAACGGCCCATTAAATATACACTTATAGTATAAAAAAGAAGTTCTTCTTACTCCTTTGGCTAGTAAAACAACATCTTTTAAGAAAAAAACAAATATTAATGAATATTTCATTAAATAAATTTAAAATTATCGTTAAATGTTATCATTATATCGTTTAGCATTATATTTCTAATTGTTACTAATACCTATTTCTATTGAAAAAAATATAAGTACCCATAAATGTTAATATCCATTTACGTATAAAACGGTGTAAAAAATACGTAAGTAATTGTGCTATTTACGATAATTATTAATGTAACCGCTTCTGTCTGTGTGTATGCAGTAACCTCAGTAACGGCTGAACGAATTTTCATACAACAATATTTTCTTATCATCTTTAAGGACTCCAGTTACATTATGTCGTTTTGCAAAAGGTATACTAGGTGAAGGTTTTTATCGTAGCGATTATTTGTGTGAGTTCAACCTAAGATACAATGTTTGGAATTCTGTTATAAACTGTCAAAACTGTCTGTCTGGGACTCGTAACCAACTGTCAAAAACTGATATAAAATACGACCAACTCCCGCGCAGTTTCACTCGCTGCTGGCTTCCTATTTGTCGTTTGTTTTATAGCCTTGCCTAGGCAAACAATATTTGTTCAAATCGGACCAGTAGATTCTGAGATTAGCGCGTTCAAATAAACCGTTCGGATTTATATATCCGTTAAATAAAATAAATTATATATTTAACTAACTACTTCCGCGCAGGTTCACACGCTCTGCTCAGCTCCTATTGGCATAATATTTTAGCCTGTAGCCATCCTTGATAAATGCGCTATACAACACAAAAATAATTATTCAAATCAGACTTGTAGTTACGGAGATTAGCGCGTTCAAACAAACAAACAAAAACACAACCTCTTCCGCTTTATACATATAATAGTATATAAGATAAAATAAAATATAGATAATATGCACCACTATGACTGGCCGCGGCGTACATCGTGATACACTCCCATAACCAAAAGAAAACACATTATATAATTAAAAAAAATATTCCTGGTATTAAAATATGGTTAATGATATTAAAAGCATGCGCTCATAGGATATTGCTCTCTCATATTGCTTTTATATATTATATTAGTTACTAATTAACCTTAATTAACAATTATAATTGACCTTTATCATATAGAATTTTAATTAATATCTTAGATTCTATTGATTGTATCGCGGTGGTTTTCATAGACGGTGTCTTTTAATCTAATAGCTAATTGTGGAATCTAAGTTTTAGCTTGTTATTATATCGTGTTTATGATACGCATAACAATTAAATAGGTAATAAGAAAAACAAAAACTTTATGAAAAGTACTTTAGATGCTAACTTAACTGAAAATGGTGGGTTATTCACGTGAATATACTGAAAAAACTCTACTAGTTTCGACTTTCGAGGCACAGAGCAGTTCTTTCTCATGAGCAGCGTGCGCGATCACGGCGATATATCGCGCAGCCTGCCTGGCTACTACACTGCATGAGGAAGAGCCCCTCTATGGCTCAAAACTAGTAGAGCTTTTCTCAGTATGTTCACGTGAGTAACCCGCGATTTTTAGTTAATTTAGTATGTCTCACAGAGTTAGATTCTTACGATACAATTTTGAAGTGGTACCATTTTTCTGTTCTATGTCCATTGCGAAATATTGGATTATTCAAAATCACACATTCGCCATCTCTCGATGAATAAACAGCAATATTTACCATCCAAAAATCTACATAGGTAACTCAATAATCACGAAATCTCTAGCAAGACCCACCATTTTCCCACTACCACAAATAAACCCGTCACCCACTTAATATTTCTAAAACGGCAGCCATTGAAACGTGTTAAATGACCTCTCAGTCTATGTTTCAGTTGTAAATAGCAAAATAATGTTAGGTAAAGCTTTAACAACCCATCATTTTGAACAAACCCCATGAATAGGCTGTAAAATGTTCTGTCAACGTGAAAATAAAGCCCGCTGTGCACTGTCCAAGACACTGTTATTCGTAATAAAGTACAGACAATCATGTGGGCACTTAAAATAAACGATGACGTCATAGATGTTAGTAGCCATCTTGTTATGAAACTAAATGGTTCGCTCGTTTAGTTTTGAATGTCGTTTTCAATACAAGAAATAAATAAGTTAAACCCGATTAAGTGAGGTGTTATTAAGGGATTTCGTACTAGGCTAGTTTCCTAAAATTATTTTAATGTCTGTCTGGTAGATTATTTTAAAAAATTACACACGTATTTTTTCTTTTCTCACAAAATTAAATGCTTTCGATGATATATTGATTTGAAATGTCATGTGACGTCACAGCGTGCAACAAAATGTAGCACGTTGTGACGTAACTACCTCCCACTCCTAAATTTAACTCCATTTTATCTAAGTATTGTAACTTTAAAAATACGTGTCTAATATTTTTTCATTATCTAACTGACGGACTAATTCGATTTTTAATTTTCTTGCCCTGGAAACTACCCAATTCTCATTACGTAATAGTTTGGTATCTGAAATTGTGCTTGGTTTTCGCTAAAGAGATTTTCTATATTACGATGGGAGTTTTATCTAATATGGCTGTAGAAAAGTAGGGTAAAGATTCATTATAACCAAAATCACTTTAATCACTTTGTTCTCAATATATTGCAATGCAACCTTTCTGAAACTTCTCTTAACACTGCAACGTTTTCTCTGATTGCTAGCTCCATTTTTAATATAGAACCTTTTCCACTAATTAAATTAACAACCGAAAACATTTCCCTACCTATTTCAAAACCTACAACATATAACCATTGAAGATACACAGCTATTGATAAAAAGCAGGATGTGTAATACACCTATCTAAGTTTCTAATAGGCCTATTTACTAGGAAGCCTATGTAGATAGGCACTAAACATGTTATCTCGGTTAGTCATCATAAAACGCATTCACAGTACGCCATGATAGGCCATAGGCCAACCACAACGTTTGTATACCGGCCCACCTCCCACTAGCTAGATAATATAATTACTTTGTAACTTTACAGCATGTCAAGCTACTCTAATCTAACTTTCTTTAATTTTCAACTCTATTTTGTTGTTACTAAGTTGAATATCTTTTGAAGTTTAGTAGATTAAAGGTAGGCTGATGTGCTGTTTTGTAATCAAGTAAAAAAAGAAAAAAGTAGTTTTATTTTAAACTTTATAGTCTGTTAGTTTAATATGCAAATATACATGTTGATGCCTCCTCGATTGCTTCTGAAACATACATTAATATTGCATTATAAGCGTGATATTACAGAGGAACAAAGAACTTTTTGGTAGCGAGCTTTAAGTAATTGGTTTTTATTCATATAATTATTATATCTGTGATTTATTTAGTAACTTTACACCTACATATATATTATATTTATACAAATTATTATTATATTTATTACATATGTCTGAAAATGATTCTTTTGTGTCTGCAAGCGAAGATGGTGCGTCTGACTGCGATAGCTTCTGCTCATTGGTTGGAACTCTGGGTGATATACTCAAACGCCAGTTCGAGGGTAATAACCGCCAATCATTTAATGTATGTCACATTAACGCGCAGAGTATTCCTAGCCACTATAGTGACTTGTACGAGGCATTTAACAACAGCGACATACATGCGGTCCTGATATCCGAGACTTGGCTCAAGCCTCATCTTTTGTCCACTACCTACCCCCTACCCGGATACATTCTTATTCGGAATGACCGAATTGATGGTAGGGGGGGCGGCGTAGCTATATATCTCCGCAGCGAATTCCCCTACAAGATTATTTCTTTATCATCACAAAATTGCACTGCGGAGTATGTATTTGTAGAGGTTTGTGTCCGAGGGGCAAAGCTCGCAATGGGCGTAATTTATTGTCCTCCCTTGGTCGATTATTTCACTGAATTCGAATCAGTAATTGAATCTTTGGGTACGGAGTATGCACATCACATAGTCATGGGTGACTTCAACACCAATCTCCTTGCCTACGATTCCTCTCGTTCCCGCAGGCTTCTGCATTTGATCGAGTCGGCAAGTCTTCACCTGCTACCTCTCCAACCTACTCACCACAACGTTGCTGGTGAGGACACCTGGCTCGATCTGATCGTCACATCCAATCCCTCCCTTGTTTTGTCTCATGGGCAGTACGAGGCCCCTGGATTTTCCCATCATGACCTAATTTTCCTCTCCTATATCCTTAAACCGCCCAAGGTTAGGCCTAGGGTTGTGTACAGGCGTTGTTTTGCGAGAATGGATGCTGAGAGTCTTCGTAAAGATGCAGCGGCCATTGATTGGAGGCTGCTGATGGAGGCCACTAGTGTCAATAACATGGTGGACATTTTCAATAACACCTTGAATAGTCTGTTTGACCGTCATGCTCCCATCAAAAGGGTTAAATTAAAGCGTCCAC